TGGGCTGGTATGATTGATGTTATGGTTTACGCATTGTCAGTTTGGCCAAGGAAACATTTATGTGAAGTACTTGCAGACAGTTTAATAGCTGTAGATGAATATATACTTGTTATCATATTTTGTCTCCCCTGTGCACACAATTGGAATTTGTGTATGAACATATGTGAACACATAAAAATAGATTTCAACGAAATTTGATACATGGATGCCCCGGGTCAATACACATACCTGGTTTGAATTGGTGAATATAAGCTAATTTGCATAATACTTCTTCAGCTTTTCCACTGATATCTCAAAAACGTATCATTACATTTCATTAAACCATGCGATCTCATTAATATACACAACTATATAATATCTCTGGTACTGTTGCAATCATAAATGTGTATTCGGTGCAATATTAAAGACACCAACAATTGTTATAATTGTTATGTCATAGCTAACCTCCCTGATCGATCATTGATTGCAGTTATTTGCTTTATTAGAATATCGCATGATAAAATAATGTAAATAACAAAGACATGTCTATGATCAAAATAAGACATAGTGATTTTAATGCTTTATATGTATTGGAGATGTGCTTCTGACATAGTATTTTATACAACCAATACTCTCGACACGCGGATTTTCTTTTTCAGCTCTCTTTAATTGGAATATGCATAAACAGACGTAACTGCTTAAAAAAGACAGCGAGTTATCCGAAGGCAACATATACTGGCCAGTGATATGTTATAAATAAGACAGACACTTTGTAATATTGAAATAACATTTATAATTGGTTTCAAAAAACACGTGTACAATGGATATATATAATATACAACACTGTGAATTGATAAAACATGTGCACAAACTTTCAGCTATCCTCGGGGGTGGGACATGCGGGTATTTTCACAGCCTGGCAACCATCACGGTGAAAACAAAGGCCGAAAACTCCTAGATATCTGTACTTTGGGATAGTTGTTGACACCCTACTGAACAGTGTAACAAGATTGCCCCTATATGTGGAACATATATACATTCGGTTGCTCAGTATTACTTCAAAGTCGATTTAGTGCTGTTTCCTCGACTTTTGTTTTTTCACCGGCTCTTCGACCGGCGTTCCAAAGCAGCTCGCGCAGAGCCCATAAAAATACACGCGCGCCTTAGCAACTTAGAAATTCTGTGACGTAGATCCGCCCCGAGGATACATATATACATCTATGTGAAGATAACATATGGAAATCAACACTCTTATGTTAAGTTAGCGATCAAATACAAACAAATAGTATTTATATTTACAGCTGTTAAATGCAATGTCTTTCACTCTCCCAAATATGAAACGTGTGAATATGAAAATGTTTTGATTATAGACAGATCGCCTCCAAATATAAGTAAATACAACATTCGACGTTGTAAAACATACATGTCTATGTGGTATAAATATGTGTTATTCTGGAAATAAATAATCAGTAAGTTGTCCATATATTATGTTGTATGTATTTTAATTGAGAATTAAAAAGTGACTATACCTCACTTGTTTAATAATTGTTGAATTCCAGAAATGACCTGATGCACACAACTCTTCCTTAACATCAATATATTGTTTCTAAAAGCAAACTGAGTTTGGGGATTCAACTTTATGTATATGATTAGGTGTAAGATATTTCTTTATGCAAGTAGATGTGACAACATTAATCCCCAGTTTTGAATAATTTGTACAACAAACTCAGGAAGTGGAATGTATAATTACGAATAGGAACAACAAGCCTGAACAACACCTGAAATATTGGGGGTCATATTTACATATATGTCAGGGATTATATGCAATTATATGTATTTAATCTATTCCTGGTTCGTTTCCTTATAGTCTCGTTTCATATGTTACCGTATGTAATCTGTTTTATTTTGATTAATGTTCATTCAATTTTCTGTATATATTTTGAGGGCGTACTTTGTGTCGACTTTATGATAACTTAGCGTAAAATGTCATGGTTGTCTACAGATGGCTGACTGAATACCCCAAATAACAATAGTAGCGATGACGTCAGCATAGTATGATGGAAAGTCAATTGCTTTAGCGTGTACTCATATACGTGATTGGTCTATGAAATAATTAGTTTTCAAGTTGATGGCGTTTTAATATTTACCCTTCTTATATACAAAGATGCCGTTATATTGCTCCCATGGTGCACCTTACTTAAACTAATTAATTCAAAAATTATTAATCATCAATGATATTTGTTTGCAGGTGAGATAATGTATGGATTCATTACTAGGAGGGCGTTAATGTAAGATGCATATACGATTATTCAAACATATACTCCCAAATCCCTCGGAACCACCACCTTCTGCCCCCCCCCCAGTCAGCTGGCGCACACGTGATAATAAAATAAATGCGATATTTACTATATGGGGGCCGCCATCTTGAATGCCGAAATTGAACATAATTACTCATGCGCCTAGGTCAAAAAACATGGAAAAATCCTGCAATTTTATTATGTGAAACTAGAATGCAGCAATTTCGATTACATCAAATAATAACGTGGTGAATCGCCATTTAACTACTGTACATTATCCAGACAGAATGTATGTGTCACAGTGATAGACTGTCTCTATGACTTCAGTACATTACCATGGGAACACTCATGAGCAGATTGACTCGTAGGTAGACCCACCCACAACAACGATTTACTCGTATTATTCGTAGATTTGTCAAAGTCTCGTGACCATGGGCGTCATTTTGTGAAAGATGATAAAGGCGTTCAAAGGTTTATTACAAGTAATTACACATTGTCAAGTTTAGCTATATGTAAATATTCTGCATAATAATGACAAGTTCTGGAGGGTAAAGTTAGAGTTAGGGTTAGTGGTACAGTGCTCCCCAATTTAATCCTTCTATGGACACCTATAATTTTCTTGAAGGGCATATATACAATTGAATTGGGGGGCTGAGAGTGAGCGTTAAAGTTAGGGGTGCAAAATGAACTCTTACCCATAGTTACGCAATAGTTAGTTTTGTTTTTCTGAGGTAAATC